GAGAGGGCAATGCCAAAAATCTTGATGAGAATAGCTACACACAGTAGAGTAAGGAATTCATAATATTCCATTGAAGACACCATATGTCCTTCCAACGGCTAGTCATCTTTAATAAAAGAATTTAAAACAAGAATAGTTCTCAGTGTTAGTCTGCCAGATTAAGTAAGAACCTTCATTGTGAGAACAGCATTTTTAAAACATTCAGAAGAGGAAGGAAAATAACACAGTTCTATTATAAAAACTAGCAATAACAGGAGCTAAGAAAAAATTTCTTAATTATTAATTTTGTCCTAGGAACAGTTCTTATGAAGTGTTAATAATACCTTTGAGCTAAAGAGAGGACTGAGAAAAAATGCTGCATGTGTAACTGCACATGTGATATCAAAAATTATTCTATCTTTATCATTTCAAAATACCAGATTCATCAAACTGAAATAATTTTCCAGAGGTGTTTTAATTGCAGAATTTTTCCTTTCGAATTGGGATTAAATTTTTGATCCAAATGAGAGAGACAAGCAGAAACTATTCCCCAAGTGACTGTTGAACTGGGACGTGGAAGCCACAGGTGCAAGTTCCTGTCTGTAACAGACAGAAGGAATTTCACTGTGGAGCAAGTATTTCATTTCACATGAGTGCCTCCAGTATTGCTATTCTGAGAATAGCTCTTTTTTTATGTTTTACATCAAGGGGAAAAGTGTTTCAAACTCTCTTGTTCTTTTTCAATATGGAATGAACACAAATTTCAAAATCTCCCACTTCTGTTTTTTTCCCTGAACTTGATTTCTCATTTTTCAACTAGCTCTACAATCACATGGTCCATCTTATATTTTACTGCCAATCTTACACATGTCATAAACAGAGTCTCCAGCTACAGAATGAATTATTTATATGAAGGGAGTGAATCCCAGAACATTGCAAGTTTCCTGCATGAATACTTTTGTGCCTCTCGTTTGTCACACACTTCATCCCATATTTGGCTCTTGTCAGATTGAGAGCAAAGGCCACGGAGTTGCTGCCCCAATAGGAGCATCTTCTCTTCCCCTTTTTTTTTCAGAGCCCAGAGGACATAAAAATATGACACTGCTATACTAGGATTGCTTTAATACCCCCTTTGTGTCTGCCCTCTCCCTGTGCTTGAGGGGAAGTAGGGAAGATGGAAAGATTTGTTCTCTCTTAATGTCTTTGCTCATGGGTAGGGTAACTTCTGGCACATCACCCACATCTGCCTGAACATCATGCTATGGTTTGTAAAGGTGCTATGTGGACACAGAGACACTAAGTGGAATAGCTTTGACATTTTCCACAACTTCTATGCATTTTATTTCCATAAATGGGAAGGGGAATTTTTTACAATTTATTAACATTTTACTGTTTGTCGTTTAAAGTCTTTTCATTCTTAGTCCTATAAAATTATCTGATTTAGCACTCAGAGTGCTCATGAGGTGTGTGGCTTGCAGAAGACCCCAAGGTGTCGGTTCTTCAGTGCACAGAAAGACAATATGTCTGAATTATCCCTTTTGAATTGCAGCATTCTCTTCCAAAACTGCAAAAAAAAATCTGGAAGGGTCTGTAGAGAACAGGAAAACCTGTGAGCTATAAAAAAAGTTCCTAATGAAAAGCAGCGGAACTGCAGAAAACAATCTTGGAAGATAAATACCAATTATGGAGGGTACCTCCTTTCAGCAACACCAGGAACAAAGCAATACAAATTACACACAGAGGAGAAATAAATCTAACTTTAATTAGGTCAGAAGTTCATGTGTCTGTAATAATGAGGTTCGCAGACGCTGCTGCCTCTTATGTTCTACCCCTGCTCCTCCCCAGCTCCAGGATGTGGCTCCAGGTTTTAGATGTGTCTCACCAGGAGCTCCACAACCTGTTGCCTGCAATGGCCCTGGTGCATCTCTAGAAGGCTTTGAGTGCTTTTTCTGCCTTAGCTGGCAGGAGCAAAGCCTTCTGGGATAATTAGTGCTGCTTCAATTGGACAGGTAGCGGATGGGAAATAAACAGGTTCAAGAGCTCAGGGGACATCCGTGTTGCTGTAGGCAGGGAGGCAGTGGAAAATAAATATAGCTAAGCAGTTGGAAAAATATTTATTTATTTATGCTCCTTTCCTTTTGAGATGTGAGATGAGGACCAGCCCCAATATGAACTCATTTTATTCCTAAGCAGTTGCCAGCTCTCTCCAGCCCTTGAAAATCGCATCCCACGTAAGTCCATGGCACAGTGATGACCCATTTGGAAATGCTTTTCCTTATTGTTAACTGTGAAAGGAGATAATTTGTTACATAAATAATGAATTAGATGTGTATTAATTTAGAACTGCTTGTCTGAATGGCTTGCAAAGCAGCTGTGTGATTTTAGGCAGTCATATGCTGTCAATTAACAACTTATTCTAAGCCAAATCTGTGTAAGCTTATTATGTGTATCACACAGTGTGGAATTTCTTCATAGGTTTTACTAATTCTAGCCGTATACTATTGGCTGCATAGTAGTTTTAAACTGCTAAAGATTAGTAAAAATCCCAGTTAAATTACTGACGGGCAGAGGGAACTTCCAGTTGCATTCCAGCTATTAATCTGCTAGTGATACTTTTCATGTTCTTGAGAAGTTGGGAGACCTCATTAAAATCCCAAGGCTTTCTTTATGGAAAACTTAATACAAGTCCAGAAAGACAAAATTCTGACTGAATATTCATAATATATTACCAATATTTTATTCCATTAAGGGAGGGAGCTTTTTAAGTTCATAGTTAGACAAGCAGCGTGACTTATACTTACAAGCCTGATTGCTATCTATCTTTCCAAAAGAAATATGCCTCAAATTTCCAAAATATTGATCTTGTGTCCTTAGAGAAGTTGGAAATATCAGAGACAATTAATTATTTTTTTTAAAATATGCTTAGAAGAGATTACTTGAAACCTCTGACAATTTCCTTTTATTTTTAAGTGTATTTTATATGAAAACAATAATTCCACATTTTGATTATTCTGATCCTATTAAAAAATAGCAAGACCTTTAATCAATCTTGAGGGGCTGCCTCTCAACAGGAAAATTATTGATAGCCTCTCTTAACAATGCAAGTTTTCTCTACTCAATATTTCTAAAACTTCCTTTTAGTTTTTGCAATATACAGCACTGTATAGTTTGAACTGGAGTACACAAGGATGATCATATCTGGGTTTCTGCAAAACTGTTCCTCCTCTAAGAATGTGGTCATTGCTAAGGAAAAACAAAAAAGACAAGCTTTTATGTAAACTTCAGGGCCTTTTTTTGCCCCAAAACTTTGGTCCAATCTTGTGGAGCTTTAAGCATTTTCACAGGAAGAATTCCTCGAGCTGTGTGTCAAGTCCTTAATGAAATCACTTATACTGAAACTTGTTCCACTAGAAAAATGATGCAGAAGTTTGGTTATGAGTCAGGCAAAACTCAAGTGCCTCAAGCCTGTGTAATCCTGTGTTTTCCAGTGTCATGGCTCCCCATCTTCTCACTCACTCACATCATCTGGGCACCTGACCCACAGTTAAGCAGCAGAATGAAAAGCTTTGTGTCATTGCTAGGAAATGCATCCTATGTGAAGAAATTTTAGAAGTTTCCCTATTAGCAAAATTCTGCTTCTCCCCCCAGTGGAAGGAAGCTCTCTCTTCCATTCAACACTTTCTGAATATGCTCAGTCCTGACTGCTTAACTTCATCTTGATGCTCCTTACTTTCTCCATTCCCTCTCTTCTCCATCTGAGGTTTTTCTTCTATTACCTATCCAGCTCCATTTTTCTCTCCAAAAAATCTATCAACTCCTTCAGAGACAAATCAAGTTTTTCAGCCCCGAAATTCAGTGTTTCTCCTGTCCAAACACATGGAGAAAAAAAATATTCCTCTCAAACAAATATTTAAAAAAAATAGAATAGGAATGCCTGCATAAAAGTTTAATCAAAATGTCTTTGAGATACAGCTGCCTGCAGACCAATTTAGTCAACAAACTTAGTTTATTTAGTGCCAAATTTTGTGCCACTGTGACCGCTCTGGTCACTTCCTTAGTAGAGTAATTCAGCTGCAGTTAAGTGGGCAAAATTGCTGATAACATGATATAAGAGTAAACAGAACTGCCATAAAACTGAGAGGCAACAATTTTTAAACTTTATAAAAGTATTTTCTTGTGCAGAAAATGTTTCCCATACAGTTTCCCTTGGACTGATATAACATTGACACCAAGACCTTAGAGCCAGACAGAGAAATACAGAAATGATTTCTACATAGAGTGTGAACATCCAATTACTTCAGACAGATTTCAGATCAAGACTTCAGTGACTATTACCTGATCTATCAGAGTCAGACTAGGATACAACTTTCCCAACAGCAGATCATTTCATAATTTTCCATAACAGAACTTTCTGAACCTTCTGCGGAACCATTTGGCCATTCGTAGACATACATAGAAAAGGTAGTAACTAAAATAATATTGTTATTTATTTTACTGTAATCAAAAGAAGCAGCTTCATATTAGATCACAGGTGGATATTTCATGTATGTTAGGAAAAATCCCAAAGATGCATCATGACTTTTTCAAGTCAAATTCTTCTTCGTAGCTAAAATGAGCTACTCGTGCATTGGATTTTTTTCTTTCTGCATCCTTCTATTCCCAGTTTGCATTTTCTGCCTCTCCCTGCCTCTACCTGTCTAGTATAAGCACATACTCTACTTCTCCCCTCAAACTGGCAAATTTTGATTCCTCAGCTAAGTTTCTCTAGTAAGCAAAGCGGCCAGTAAAATTAATAACATTTTCATAGCATTTCTTTTTAATTCATTCTGTTGCTTAATTTGCTTATATGATTCTGCAGCTGAAGAAAAGGGATAAAATGTCAGACTATTGTACAGATCCAAACCAGCCCCTTTGAACTGTGATTTTACAGCAGAAGCATCAAAGAAGAATTGCTACTCCAAGGCTTTTTATCAATAGAAACTGTAAGAAAGAAATGAAAAAGAACATATTCACATTCTTACCTCAATTTCCCATTCTAACTTCAGGAAGCTCCTATTGAATTTGATGCTGTAGGAATAAGCCTTTGGGCCCAGATCCTCAAAGGTACTTAAATGTTGCAAAGCTAACTTTTATTCCTCCTGTGACCTCATGGATTTCTCAACCCAAATACAACTGCCCAGGCAATGAATATTAACAGTGATTTTTTTCTTTCCTTACTGAAAAAAAAACCAAACTCAGAAATCACCAGAGCAAGGATCTGCTTAAATTAGCCGTGTCTGAAGAGCAGACAAGTGGGACTAGACAGTCACCTGCCTCTGCAGTGGCTCAGATTGACCTACATAGCATTCACCTCCACCTATTTTCTGGTTATTTTGGTCTGTGAGGGCTGATTGATGTCTATACATATGTAAGAATGATTGGCATGCCCCATCTGACTCCTGTGCAGACAGGAGGAGTTAGAATGGAAGAGGATGGGAAGAAATGAATAGAATAGAATAGAATAGAATAGAATAGAATAGAATAGAATAGAATAGAATAGAATAGAATAGAATAGAATAGAATAGCTGTCAGTTGGAAGGGACCTACGATGATCAGCTAGTCATACTGCCTGACCAGGGCCAATTCACCTGGGTGATCTGATGCAGGCATGTTGATTTTAGAGCCAACTTACTTAGCTGTTACATATCTGTCCACAGAGTTGCACTGTCCAATGCAGCCCAACCAGGTCTCCTGTGGAGGCCATCCCACTGCAAATCATTATGTGTACGTTGCAAGAGAGCAGACAGCCCATGATTAGACACTTCACTTGACCAGTAGGAAGGTGACACTCAAGCCCTTGCCTTGGAGATTAAAATTTGATCCAACCTAAAAGCCAAGTTTGGGCTGAGGCAGGGATCTCAGCCGCTGTTAATGCTCAGGTTGACCTCAGCATTTAGGCTGCATAGTGTCTGCTCACTGGTCAGACACGCACAGGATTTAAACACCCATCCTGTCCAGTGGCAGCTTGCCAGAGATTTTGGGCATTTCATTGGGCTGCGTGTGCATGGGGACGCTGAAGAAATACCTTTGGGGATCTAGGCCTCAGTTTCACTAACCTGGAGAACCTGTTTTCTCTTTCCAGTCTCCTGTGATAATTCAAGGGCAGGACACTCTTGTCTTGAGTGTGGACACACATCATCATGATGGAGACTGTGGGTTACCATCATCATCCTTGTTGGGGTAGGGCAGGACATCAGCCCTCAGCCCCCCACTCTCCCCTGCCCTTGCAGAGCACTTGCTTCTCTGTCTCCCTGGTGCGAGACATGAAATAGTGGAACCAAGTAGCATTGCAGCTGCAGAGGGATAAAGGATTTCCAGCTGTATCTAACCTGCTGCTGCTGCCTCAGATTCCCTCCCCAGCTGCATTTGTCAGGCCCACCATCTTTCACTGTGCTCCATCACCTCTCACCTTTCTCTGTCGCTCCATTTTTATGGAAATTCATTTACAAAAGGAAGACAGTTATATTTATAATGTAAAGCATGCTGGAATACTTAATCTTTCACTTCATTTTTTTTCAAGTGTGCCTTACTCAGACGTGGACTGATAAGACGACAAGTGCTAAAACAATCTGTGAAATGATGCATGGACTTTTAAGCAAATTAATAAGTGCCTTGGAGCAAAGATATATATAATCACAGAAAAACCTGACTCTTTTAATAGGAGATATATCCTTGAAATACTGTTTTATCTGGTTAATTAGAGTTAGGGGTTGGAAACACTGGCTTTCTCGAGATTAAAGAGAAAACTTAAAATATTCAGATGGGAATTTGTTTTATATAATCTACTACATACACACTTAAATATGAAAGTTTGATCCTTTAATATTTAACCAATGGACAGTCCACCGAGACATCTCTTTCATTTCCACTGGGGTCCTGGTACAAGCACCAGCTAGTTTTAATAGACATCACACATTTTAAAAAAAAATAGGTGCAGTTAAGACACAGTTCAGCTAAGAGCCATGGGGCACAATATGTTGCATGGGTCAAAAGCGCACGTCCTAGAGGAACTAGTGAACTAGAACAGTGTCTTTGTTATTAATCCGGAAATTGCATTTTTAGAACATATATTGCTGACTATATAAGTCTCTTTTTTTTTTTCTTTTCTTCCAGTAATTTCTTTTTTCACATGAACAGAGCAAACATCTCTCTTTGTTCCTTACAAAGATCTTTTAACTTTTCTGTTCCAGCTAGCCAGTAACAATCCCTTATGCATCTTAACATTTATGTTTATGCAGGCTACAAATGTCTGTGCTCATACCCATGCCAGACATCCTTAATACACACTTCCATCTGCCAGCGACCTGCCTGTGACCTCCTTCAGAAATGAAAGGTAACTTGGCTAGCTCTATTTCTGGTCCTTCTGAAAAAGGATTGTCAGGTCAAATTGTGACAGTTTAAGTGTGATGTCTGATATTGACTGCTGTCCAGCAGGGACTGTAAGTGCTGCGTCTCCCACTTCATTCAGGACCTTACTATTGACTTGCACTATCGTCTTAAGGTTAGTCTTTTATCTGCCATGCTTCCAGGCAAAGAAATAAGTGGCACTGGAGCAAACTGCTGCACTGCAGCCCAGGGACACTGCTCTTGTGGAGCTAGTGGCTGCATGGCTTTAATACCCACAATTTAGATGACCACTCCACAGTGTGTCAGAGACAGCTGTAATTACTATTAAAGCATGTTTCTGTAGCTCAATTTTAAGTAAAATAACTTTTCCAATATACCTATTTCTCAGTGTATCTCTGCTTGCGTGTGTATACCTTGGACAAAATGGGACAACTTTTTAAAAGAGAAGTCCTTGTACAATAAGGCAAGACAGTAAGAGAGATATTAAAAATCAAGAAAACAAAGAAACAAAAATCTAAAAAATACACTGTTGAATGCCTTTTCTAACTGTATGTTATTGCTAAAATATACACTATTATAGTATATAATAGATATTATTTCTCCTTTCTCTTCCCCTTTCCACCCTCCAGGGTAATCAAACCATTTTCCTAACACCATATTTGTGCTTGCCAATCCCTTCCCAGAGCAGTGCATATTCTCACAGTTTTTTCACTTCCAGCTCCAATTTTTTACATAAAAACTAAATGTGGGACATTAAGACATTTGAAGTAGTCCTTCCAATGGAGTAAGAACGTGAAAGAACTTGCAGATACAGAGGATCTCTGCTGATTACTGCCCAGGGTCAATAGCAAAAGTACAGAGAGCAAAATCATCTTTACACACCTATCTTTCTCCCTTGCAATTCAGTGGATCTTCTACATAAATAAAACAACTGGATTTAAAAACTGAGTCCTTCAAGAATTACAGAATTTGTTTTGGTCTTTTCTTTGATACAATTCGGCTTAACAGTGGAACACTGGAATACCAGACTCTTCAAAATACACAAGTTATTTCTAATTCATTAATGTCTTATGAATAGACACCATTTGAAAAATAGTTTGTAAATCAGCTGCCCTGCTATTTCTATTGAATTTAATTGGAATTATTTTTATTTGGACTGCAGATACAGCTTCAATTGAAGTGGGTGGCATTGCACCATCTGCCATATTTTATCCCAGGATAAAACCATATTATTTAATTTTTCCTGTCCACTTTCCAGGTACGATTTCTCACTTAGATTGTTCCATAGCTGGTATTTTCTCTCCTCTCCTTCTCTCAACATGAAACTCTACCCAAGCCTTGAGGAAATCTATGCTGAAACAAATGTATCAAATGTGATTTTTTTAAAAAAAATCTGGATTTTAGCAAAAGAAAAGTTGAAAACTCCTGCCTCATTCCACAAATGAAAACTTTGTTCAGTGTTGGCTTAGAATAGCTCAGTCTTGTTCAAAGAGATTAGCAACAATGGGTTTTCAGTTTTTACAATGTTAATCCATGATTAATCTAAACATATTTTAATGCTCCTTGAAGCACAGTATTATTTTCCTAATCCCAAGTTTGCCTCATTGATCCCATCCTTGCTTATTTTTCCCACAACAATGCAATTTATACAAGATTGCAGCTAAATTATTTATATTTAAATCAGAAATTTATGATGATAATGATAATGAATGTAGCTATAAGAGCCAATAAGATAGAACGGTAGACCTCTTTCCAGGCCTCCAAACATCACCATCACCCAGAAAAAATATTGAGAGCTAAAGTGTTGCTGTGATAATTTTCTACTTCCTTGGGATTCTTGAGTATTTACAGATGCTGTACATATGCCATTTCTTATTAGTGAGAAGAAAAACAGTTAACAAGATGTCATAAGGTACCAGTTAAAAGTTTTGCTCACTAATGTGCCATATGTAAAAAAGAACAAGATTTCAGAATGATGCAGAGATTTTCTTGCATTTTGAATTATACGAGGATATTTCCAAGAATACATGGTCTTTAAATACTTTTTCATTTCTTAATGAAGCCTAGTTTCTATTTCTGAGTAGACATCATTATCTGAAACAGTAAAGGAAAAGAATGTGATAGTCACAAAATATACCTTCAGTTTCACAAAGTATCTCTAGAAATAAAATGTTTTCTCATTATTTTTTTAACATTTAAGACCTATATTAAAAAACAAATGTATGTTAATGCTAAGGGTATATTCATGGCTCCTGTTTAAAATTAAAAAGTTTAAATGTGTTTGTTAAATGTCTCCTATGGCTGATGCCTCCTAATATCTGCAACATCCACCAAAACCACTGTGAAGGTCAGGACACAGGCATTGTTTAGTCTCTGTTTTTAATGTGCAGGTTGTAAGCAAAATCAACCCCATGAGAAGAGCTGAAAGTTTCAGAGATTTTACTTTACATTAAATTTTCAGTGGTCCTCAGTAAAAACAAATCATATTCTTATCTGTTAATGTTCCTGCTTCCAGACTGCACTCCTTTCCAGACTGCACTCCTTTACCATAACTTATCTTTATTGCTGCTGAAGGCTTTATACTCCCCAACAATATTTAGGGAACCCAAAACATATTTTTTAACCTTTCTGTGTAAATGTAATACCTGTCCTACCCACCACTGCTCCTCCAGTGACTGTACAGATTGTTTTAGCAGGCAAGATGTTTTGCAGGCAGGATGTTCTGGCAAGGTACTTCCTCCAAAGGTTGAGCACAGCCGTGCTCCCTGTAGCCCCAGGTGGCTCTCCAGTGCCATGGTCAGATGGAAGAAGGAGCTCCTGGCTTTGGGGTGGCTGGAGCAGGCAGGTGCCCAGGCTGCTCTTCCCCTTCCCAGGACAGGTGGCAGCA